TCAGAAAAAATTTGGAAATTTAGTATTTTATATGAAAATTATTATCTCAGATTGAGTGGTACAATTATATTAATTCTGATTTAAGGCAGTCATTTGAAACAGATTCAGACTATCATCTTTTTAAAGATATATTTGATAAACTCAATCCCAATAGTTTATGCTTTTTACCCTACTTCTTTGTATTTATGAAAGCTGAAAATGTTGCTTTGTTGCAGGTGACTGTTACAGAGGTTTACCCAAATCTTTTTCTTAATAACCAACAAATATTAGATGCAAAAAAAACAAAAAAAATTAGTTATGATCTAGTATAAGAAAAATAAGTGCAAAGACAAATACAATATTAGATAATATTTCAGCATCAACTGAAATTTTGATAAAAGAAGATTTATTATTTGAAAAACATAATAAAACCTTATCACTACAGGATACTCAAATATTGATGCTAGAATATAAAAAAAGGTAGAGCAAATTTTATGCTCTTAATCAAAAAATAAGTAATCTATAAAAATACATAAAAAAGTTAGAAAACAAAATAGAAGAAAAAACTACAATTCTCAATGAGGATAATTTGCTAGAAATAAGTATCAACAATACAATAAAATCTGCTAAATTTGGTTCTATTATACTAGTTTCTATAAACAAATACCTTTCACTAGTATTTACACAATCCTGTCCTAAATGCAATAACAACAGCCTTATAAATAAATCTTGAAATATAATACCAATTGGTTTTCAGATTAAAAGTACCATAGAATGCATAAAATATGCCACTGTTTCTGAAAATACAAATGAAGCAAAAGAAATTCTATTAATAAATACTATAGCTGCTGTGGGAATTGTAGAAGGAAATCCTGCAATACAATATAGAGCTCATTAGCTGTAATAAGAATTACAAATCAAACAAGCAATAAAACATATCATAAATACCAAAAAATGTATTTTTCACCTCTTGTAACTCATGCAAATTCTAGTACAAAAGAAGCTTTACAAAAATATATCGTACATACATTGTTACAAGACAAAAGTCTCTATCTGTAGGATTTGATTATTCATAGTCTCATATATGAAATGTGAATTAGGCTAGTGGTGAGCTTATATATTAAGAAATTCTATCTGGTATTATAATTTATATGCTAGTATTTACTTGATCATAATTAATTTTAATTATTTTTATTAGATTATTCTTACAAACTAATTATCATATTTTATGTAGTTGAAAAAGCCAGACTTGCAAAAGATAATAAAGGGATTGTTAAAACAATCATCAAGGTAACTTTGGAAAATCTTCAAAACAAATGAAGCATGTCATTTTGATTGAAGTGTTATGCCAAATTAGTCTGTCATTAGAAAAAGCAGACTTATATTTAGAAATATATATTAATGGTGATTTGGATTCAAATAAGACCTTTGTGAGTGTATCTATTGTTATGAATATTATGCATTCCTAAAACATTTAACACACAATATTAAAAACTCTTTGTGAAATATATGACCTTTTTTATTGCTCTTTTTTTTAAAAAAAGAATAAAATAAAATAAAAAATAAATAAATAAAATAAAAAAAATAAAAAAATAAAAATAGAAATAATGGTTTTGAATTAATAATTCTTGTATTCTTTTGTTTGACAAAAAAAATATTCAGTTTTATGCATTTAGAATCATATAATGCAGTGGTTTTGCAGATATATTTATTTTACAACATTGCGAAAAGCTGCCCAAGATTCTTTTGCACCAACCAAAGAACAAACACAAATTATGCAGGTAGAAGGACTTATCTATCATCTACAAAATAATTATACATAGTGTTGGTCTGATGTATGCTGGATGAAAGATGATCCAGAAATTATTTTGTGAGAGCTGACCCTTTACAATTTGCTTAATAGCAAAATAAATAAATTTTAGAAGCTTCTTAAATTGATTTATCATATACCTTGTAGTCAAAAAACTGTTATATTAAATAGAACATCTCAAAATGAGGCTTGCAATAGAGTAAAACTTGTTTATTTAGATAAAAAAATTGATTATTGGCAGTTATTTTCTGCATGTCATACAATGTCTGATTGCATTATAATGAGAGATATACATACTTACTTTCTGAACTTCAAGAAATATATTGTGTGAAACCATTCAAATTAGCAGATCTGCACAATATTAATGCAATATAAAGTGCATGTTCTATAAAACAAAGATGGAATGTAATAAAATACAACAATGTAATCAAACACAGACTAAGAAATATGCTAATGAGAGCAAGAAATTAGCAGGTTTCGATTTTGATCAGATAAATGATATAAGATTATAGTATTGAAATTCAATATTTACTTACAATACTAAAGATAATTTGATATACAAGATTTAGTTCCCTATAAAAAGCAAACTCTGGATCAGCTTCACATAAATGAGTTTTATTCATCTTTTGTCCCATTAATTATTAACTTTGATGTGACTATACAATGTATTTGCTGCAAAGTTTTTTTGAAACATTCTAAGGAGTTGTGTTCACTGTATTATACATATTATTAATTTAGTTGGAGTAGAAGGTTTATAAATAAGAATATAAATCTACAAGAAGAAATAAGTGAATATATTGGCTTAAAAGAGTATATTGAAGTAATTGCAAAAAAAAATTTCAAATTTATTGAATTAAGACTGGACAAATGAATGCAATCAAATATTATATAGAAAAGAAAAAGAATATACTTGCCATTATGAAGACTGATGGAGAAAAATCTTTTTGTTATGCTGTTACTTCTATTCTTTTTAACAGTCTTACAGTTATTATTTCTCTATTAAAATCTTTGATTCAAAGCCAAGTGGTTAGTATAAAAATTAAAAGTTTAAATTAAGATTAATATTAAATATCTAATTAACCTTGTTTTAGAATCATTTCATCAAATTAGGAATTCCATATAGCAGATTAGTAACATTATCCCAAAGAACAATTGAACACGAATCAAAAATTTTTGAAGAAATAGCTCTTGGATTTACATGTCTACTTTATATTATGCTAGAAAAACTATTGCTTAATAACTCTCTCAGAAAGTTATTTGGTCACTTATATGATAAAGAGAAACTACAATTTGTGATTAATGAAGTTCATTGTATCTTTGAATTTTAACATTTCAGGTAAAAATTATAAAATAATATGTTAAAAGATAGATTTAAAAAGTTTTATTAAAAAAAAATAAAAAAATTTTTAGAAAGGAATGAAGAAAATTAAACATATTAAAAGAATAATTTCCTAATATTCAAATCATAGTCTTAATCTCAACTCTATCTCATAATAACCTATATCCTTTTAGAGATAATTTGAATATTAATATAGATAATTTTGAAATCATAAAAGGTAGTGACCTATTGCACAAGGAGTTAGGTTTTCCAGTTCAAAACCGAAAAGAGGCTAACTTGGCATGGACAGGCCAAGTAATAGAATTAATAAAAGATATAACAGTTGGTCATATAATTATTTATTGCACATAGATCAAAAATTGTGAAAAAGTTTATGAAGCATTAAATCTAAAGATAGAAGAAATAAAATTAGATGTATACTATAGGCAACCAAAAGAAGTTGATAAAATAGATGTGATTAAAAATTAGAATCAGGGTAAAACATGTCTAATGATTGCAATATCAGCATTTGGTATAGGCATAAACATGTTTAATGTTTGCCTGGTTTTGCATTACAATCTTCCAATAAATATAAGTAAGTATATTTATTACTTAATATATATAAATATTATTAAAGAACAATACTTAGGACTTCTACAAACAGCCAGTCTTATTTAACACTCAGGGCTAGCCAGACATGATCAACAAGCTTCAAAATGTGTTGTTCTTTTTGCAGAAAAGGATATCTGTACTAATTACATTATTATCATAAGTGAAGAAGAAAGGTATTATTATTATTGTTCTTTTTTTTGTATTACAAGTTTTATTAAAATTATATTAATTATAGTGATGAAAGTGAAGATGAAAAAGCTCTCATTTGAGAACTATGTTTAGCTAAAGTTATTTGAGGTAAAATATTATTGTCTTACCTTATATAAGTGCTGATTCTAATTAGTGTCATGATATTATGCATGGCTAGATGATCCAATTCCACCAGCTTGTAATTTATGTGACAATTGCACCAGGTGCACAAAAGATAAAATAATGTTTATTAATGCACAATTAGAAATTTTAGATTTGTTAAGGGTTGTTAGGATATTATGCAAGAATAACACTAAACAGATAATACCTTTAGATGTTGTTGAAGTATTTTGCTGCTTAAAAAGTGCTCGACTTCAAGATAGAGTGTTAAATTTGCTAGATCTTAATAATAGTAATTACTAAAAACCTAAGATTTTATACACAAAAGTGTTAGCTAAATTGGCATTGGTTGATTTGGTTTGTCAAAACTTTGTAAAACAGACAATTTGCCTAGAATGAAAAACTAATAGAAATTTTTTAACATTTAGTATAAATATAGAAGGTGTGTTGGAAAATATGAATTTACTTGCAAAAAGTGATGCTTGGTCATACTAGGCAAAATAATTGTATATTTTTAATATTTAGTATTTTTACTTGTTGTTAGTTATATTTATATTAAAAGATTAATAAACCTTGTTTGAATATATATTTCAGTTTTAAAAATTTATGCATGTACTGAATCTGTGATAATTACCAAATCAAAAGAGCACAAAGATCAGAATTTAGCACAGGCTTTAATTTACTTAATATTTGATATTTAAAAATATTTTTATGTAACTAAAATTTCATGCTAAAAACTTTTATTAAGAAGTCAAACTGTAGTTATCATAGTAAAATCTTGAGTTATTTGCAATTTTTCTGTTTTTACAATGCTTTTCAAAATTTTTAAGTTACATGAGATCTTATGATTTTATTGGCTACAATCAGCAAAGATTGGCATATCTGTATTATGGAAATTTCTAAAATTGCATACAATAATTGATTTTCATATATATTATACAAAAAAATTTAGTATATGAGTTCATATGAAAAATGATCTATGTTTATCCTACTTTTAAAGATATGAAAAATTTGAATGCTTATGAATATCTTTGTCTTCTTGCTATACATAAATATCTTAATACAATTTTTAATAATGAAGAGTTATATTCTTGTATAAAATTGAGTCTTGAAATATCACAACAAGTCTTTCAACATGGTCCATGGATGGCACACCATATTCATGAGTAATCAAAAAGTTGGATTGCAACTAGGACTTTATTTGTCTCTCAACAAGGTTACAGAAAATATACTAGCTTTTATTAATGATAAGAACATACAAAACTCTTGCTTACATATTATTTGTACTATAGATGAAAAGATAACTGCTGAAAAGGTTTAAGATTATGTTTATAAAAAGGTTTTATCACATATTACTAGCTTTTATACTTTAATTTTATTAGAAACAGCTTGAAAATAGCTTTGTTGTCTTGGTCTTGTATATCAGCAGTATTGACAAGAAATCTACTATAATGGGCATGAATGTTTTTATGTTATGCAATATCATACAATATTTCTTGAAAAAATAAAAAATTTTGAGTCCTTAATACTGCAATTTGTTGGTGAAAATATGGAAATTATTATTAATTCTGAAATAAACAAAAAAAATTAAATTCACATTTTTGTTATTTATAATAAATGTATTTTTTATACTAATAATAGTTGTCCTTTAATATAGGCTCCTCTTAGTATGTCCCCACTATGTAAAAAAAAAAAGAGTAAGGCAATTATTGTCTTAGAATTTTTAACTAAAACATATGATTGCTTTATGATTACTTCTAAAGAAATGAATAAATTGAACCTATTATCAATATTTTCACAAGAAACCCATGTAATTATCAGGCCTGAAAAAAATAATAATGACTGATAGAATGTTTTGATTTGCTTATATAAGTGGCTAACAAACCAATTCCTATTTTCAAAGCAACTCATCTAAACTATATTAGTGTTTTTACATTTGATAATAGTACTAATCATGGTGCTTTCACAAATGATGCATTATGTGCTAAAAATATAAACCTTTCTCCTAGTAATAAACAGTTAAAATTACATGATAGTTGGTTTATTAATGCACAAGATAAATAAGTTACTTAGTTAATGATTTTTTCTAAAGACTTTCCTTTTGATGATCTTAATTATATTTTCTGTGATGAACCAAAAGGTATTCGACAGGTACTTCATAAGCGTAATTTATGACCTACTGATGGTCTAAGATTAAAATGTAGAAATAACTATTATGAACCAAATGCACCTAATTGTTGTGCATATCATTTGTTGTTTACACAATCTGATTTTATTATACAAAAATTAGCATTGAAAGAACTTATTGTTGAATAAGAATATGTTTATATATTTTATCCTAAGTTTCACTGTAAGTTAAACTTCATTTAATGGTACTGGAGCATTGTAAAATGCTATTCACATGAATCTTGCAATTATTTATAAACAGGATTACAAATTACAGTACCTAAAACACTTGATTCAGTATTATTTACAACTATACATCATTTTTCACAAAAGGCATGACATTACATAGATGCTTATAGACATGAACTTACTGGTTGGGTAGCAGAATATGTTGTATGCAAGTATCATTCTCATAGACATATACATAATGAGATTGATTTAGAGTTAAGTTAATAAATGCTAAATATATAGTGTGAATTAAAAAATAAGAAATACTTATTATTTGTTTTGTATATGTTAAAATGAATAATACTAAAAAACTATAAATTAATACATTTATTATATTCTATTTTGCTTTTGAAAAAATTTATTAAACTGTTTTACTATATTTTATCATATAAATTACCTAATATTTTTATTTTAAATCCATTAAAAGCAAATTTTGACTCCTAGTTTCTTGTGAAAAAAAAAGTAAGATGTATATAAAAATTTATGAACATTATATATGTTGACATATGTTATGAGCACAGACAGGTCTTTTATTTTTTTATTTCAAATCAAACCTAGGTATTAGGCCTGGGTCTACTATTATATATAAGAGTTTGATACCCATCACTTGATAAGTTAATCTATGTACAAACATTTAATGTATCCACAGAATTTGGTTTGATTTATTTAAATTAACAAGTGACTCTTCATATTTTAAACACTGGAGTAATAAGTACTTTGAATTATGGGAAATTGTATTCAAAACAACACTTGTTTATCAAGGGCCTTCCTGATCTTTTTTTTGTAATAAAGTGTTATAATTATATTCTTTTCTAATAAATCCCACCTGTCACTTATGTACCAGATACCTGATATTTTATAAGTTCAATAAATGCAACAAATGTAATTTATTGCAATTGTCCTTATGATGGTAATTATGCGAAGCAGCAGTAATAAAATCAGTTGCTGGATTCAGTAGTGTCTAAAATTCAATGTTAGGGATCCAATCAAATTGCATAATTTCAGAAATTAAGCAATTTGATTGGATCTGAACATTCGAATTTTAGACACTGTGCTGGATCCCATAGTATAAATGCATTGACCCGTCTTTTTATATTTATTAACCTTTAAATTTAACAGTCATAATACATATATATCAATATTATGGGTTAGACCATGGTTGCGCAAGCTAAAGTAATAGCTGACTAAGGCCACCAATTTCCTCTAATAAACACAAATCTGTTTATATTAGGTGTTTATACTGTAAATTTCGTAAGTCAAATAAAAAAATAAAAGCTATTCACTTATTCAGTCAAACCTTTAGCTAATTTGGCGCATTTGAATATATCAAGTTAAATTTGGCGCACTTGAATATATCAAGTTAAATTTGGCGCACTTGAATATACCTATATATATTTAACCAAATTTGGCTGATTTGATGAGAAGTGACCTGGAGCACCATAGCATTAAAATCATAGTTTCACAAATTTTACATTACACCAAAAAATTCTGCACGCCAATCAGATTTCGAGATAAGTTAAAAAGGTAATTCCGGCCAAAATTTAGTAGATTACAGCTGTTAGCCAATCAAAACTGGTCACCACTAGTACTAAATAAAATAAAACCGGTTCTAGCCTCTAGCTAAGGTCACACAAAGTTATTTTTCGGTTTAAATCTGGGTCGGCAGACGGAATTTTTTTTATATAATCTACTGTAAATTAATTAAATTAAGTTCACATCTAAGGTTATGTAAAGTTAATTTTTCGGTTTGCATACAAGAAATCAAAAAATTGGGTTGGCGTCGTATTTTTTCAGTGGAATTAAGGCCACTATCGGGGATGCTAGATAAAAATAGCGAAAAAATTAAATGGTAAAAATCGAATAATTTGCACAATTGGGATTTTTTAAAAAAAAAAAAAAATTTGAAAAATTGAAAAATAGGTCGGCGGGTAATGCAGGCCTAATCTATATGAAACTTTTATAATGCAAAATAATTTTATTATTAAGACGGGCAAAAAAAAAAAAAAAATTCAAAAAATTTTATAACAGATTATAAAAACGGTTATTTTTATTTATTCTTATTTTGTTTGAGATATTCAAATATTTCTTGAACATTATCACAAACAACTGCACCATTTTCCTTTACTAATTTAGCAACCTTTTTTAATGATGATCTTTAAATCCATTTTCTAAAAAACAAAAATAGTATTTTTAGGTCTTTTATTACTATCATCCACAATTTCTGCAATTGAATATACACCCATCATGTTACTAGTTATGACATAAATTACAAAGTCACATGTTTTTCTTTGGCAAAATTTTTCTTCTTTACATTCAGTAGTCCATGGAATAAGTTTGATCTCTCCAAGTGGATCCATTACAAGTACCGCCTAAAAAAACTTTAGTTCCTGTCATATTCATTGTTGTATGTAGGTCATAAGTCATGACCGAACCGACCGCGGTCATGACCGATGGGTAAATTTAAAATTTTAATATCCAGCATAATTTAATTAATATTAGTTAATTTAAGTTACCGCATTCTACCGTAATAAGCACTGTCCCCTCTACCGCACAGTGCTGCATATAGTATCCTGGGTATTTTTCAAGAAAGCCGGCCTAGATTGAATAATACCCCCAAATATTGGAAGATTGGAGGATAGTACAAATAATTGTTACTGATCAATATATACCTTGCTATTAGACATATCAAACCCTATGAAAGATCGCACTATAATTAAGAAAATTAGATCACAAATCGCTTGTCAAAAAAAAGGGGGATACTACTCCAGGGGAGTACTGTATGCAGCGCTGTACGGTACCTATTTTTATTAAATGTCAGATTGGTGGAAACAACTTTGTTAAATATCTCATTGTGATTTCCGCTAATCTAATATTTTAAAAATTGAGGTAGAGGGGATGGTGCTTATTTACGATAGAATACAATAAAGCTTTTTTGATTTAGAGTTACTAAGCTAATGCGGAACAAATTTATATTTAAATTATATAATCTGTAATAATATAATATATAGTTAATAATGTAATATTTTTTATAGGATAAATTTAATTCAATAATAGAGATTGAAAAAAATATAAATATTGTTATGGGTAAACCCGATCCTAGGACCATGAGGAAACGTTGCGTAACGACCCACAATTTGCACCATGAAAAGCCATCGTACCACGATGCCGCGACCCAAGACCGAACAAGTATTTCATTAAGTGACGGCGCCGATCCATTGAAGAAAAAACCACCCGTCCGATTTGGAATACATCTGTCAAGATAATATTACCTTGACAGGTAAAGTCTGTGGCCGTGTCAATGCGTCGTCATATGTTGGGTTATGTGTTGTTGTGAGATGATTGAAAAAATTCTAAAGTAACGACGAATGAGTTAAAGGAAAAAGGAAAAAGGAGTAGTAAAAAAGGAAAAACGGTCTATGACAATGAGAAAAGGGTGTCAAAGCTGTGTTCGAAGTTCCCTTTTTTTTCCTTGAAAATGTTCTATAAAAATGGTTCGAATTCCCCCTCTTGTAAGGGAGTAATGTGTCTTCCGCCCTCTTGTAATCAATTATCCTAGAACCGTCTTGAAATAAAAAAACCGAATCATCTTTAAACCCGCCCTAAAATAAAAATAAAAAAAAAAGTTAATTAATTGTTATCAGTTACAATAAATAAAAATAAACCAATATGCTCCTTTAAACCCGTATGACATTAAATCCGAATCCCCTTTGTGACGTCCTCAAGGCTGCCTTTGACCTGTGCCAAATCGAATCCGCCTCACCTTGAGTAACGTTACGCGACGTCGACGTTTACGAAGCGACAATCCGTCGCATTCCTTCTTGTTCTAATAGTGCCGTTCCCGACCCAGTAGCCCGTATCAATATGATAAAATTCTCGTCAATCATTATTTCCAAATATAATCGATATACGATATATGAATATTTATTAAATATCATTTAACTAATTGGTTAAAGTTGTATATAACAATAATTTCGGCACAATACTTATAATCAAACCTATTTTTGTATCATGATAATTATTTTGCAGATCTTTAAAATGATAAATAACAAAATATAGTATCGGTCAAACGGTCGGTTCGGTCGGTCAGAATTTGTGACCGAACTGGTATCGGTCACGGTCATGACCGAACCGTTGACATCCCTAGTTGTATGTAACCAGAAATTTATATTAAAATAAAAACTGGTTTTTTATATGTTTCTCTTGTATATCTGCGGCTTAAAAAATATATGAGTGCGGCCAAGGGAAAATTTGTCATCGGACATTCAATTATATTTTGTGTACAGTTAGCTGTCTATGGAAGATCTATGATAATGATGGATTTTTTACAGACGGCCAACTGTACACGAAATATAATTGAATGTCCGATGACAGGCTTTCTCTTGGCCGCACTCATATAAGCATATAAAATATTTGATATGCCGAGGCTATGCACACCATGCATAATTGAGATCCATGGTTCATTTGAAATGTAAATTAAAGTGTACTCCGCTAGCCCTATTTCAGAAGTATCACACATTGTTTTACAATACAAAGTAATGGATTACTAAATAGAGAAATACCTATGAAGTGCATTCTATGCATTTGACGCATTTGGTAAGCTCTTACCTTATAAAATTCGATCATTTTTTTTACAACAATTTTAAGTTACGCATTCCCTGTGAACATCTTATGATAATTTGTGGCATAGTTGCACATTAAACAAATGCATGTTTAAGAATGCTTTTCTAGTAATTCATTTAAGTTTCCCTGCAGCCGTAACTTCTATACGATATTTTAGTTTCATTGCGATGATTGATTTTGTACAAAGATTTATCTCATAATCGAAAGCGATATTAAGATCCAGGAATTTGAATATATTAAATAGTAGAATATTTAATTTATAATTTGCTGCTCTATTTTTATTTTTTATTTATTTATTTTTCTTTGATCAATGATAAACGGCTTTTTTTAATGGGATCATCAAAACTAGATATAAATATTTGGATGGGCCTCGACTTTTGTGTTCCTACGATTTACACCATTGTTTATTATTTGACTATCCAATTTTACCATTATAATATCCAACAATAGTAGGGAGCGTCCAAATTTCCTGATTAAGAACAAGAATTATTTACCTGAGTACAATATCCACCAAATTTCCTGGATAAGACTATTGAGCCGTTAGGTGTTAGCAATAATAATTTTTTTTTTTTTTTACTTTGAGAAATAAGAAAATTACGCCCAAAATAAAAGCAAATTGGCGTTATTATATATTCATGTACGTACATACGTACTGTACGTACGTAATCAGTTATGGTTTAAATTCACAACTCCATGTGAACAGAAGATCCTAGTAACTGGACAATCAATAACATTAATTAGGTTTTTAAATTATATACAATGAATGCTAAACAAATTCTAGTATCACCGGGAAAAGCGATCCCTCCCGTCTTTGTCTAATCCAAATTAGTCTAAGTTTGTATTTAAATTCTGAGGCGCATTTCATGTTGGACGTTTCTGAAGAATTTTCCAAAGTGATCACACATTGGTTTAATAGGTCATAATCAAAATTGAATAGCTAAATTGAATGGGTTTTAAGAAATTTAAACTAAATAATAACTAAATCGTAACTAAATAATAATTAAATAATAACTAAATAATAACTAAATAATAACCAAATAATACCTAAATAATAGCTAAATAATGGCTAAATAATAACAAAGAACTAAATAATAATTAAACGCTTGAGATAACGAATTTTTCATAGCGAGTATTTCGAAATAACGAAAATTTTTTGCATCATAAATGAGTCTGAACATATAGATTAGTCTTCTGATAATCAAATGTTTCTATATAACGAAGGTATTAGGTCAGAATGTGGGCTTCACTATATCGAGCTTTAACTGTAAGTATATAATATGTACAAATCATCATAATATTGTGCCAAAATGAATTTTTAGAAATTTATAAAATAATAGTTTGAGTTACCGTAAGACATAATTTCATTTATGGTGAGTGTTCCCAAGAAACTCTCAACACATTTGCTAGAAATCAAGTTGCTTTTGTTGCTCAATCATTCAATCATTGCGATAATTTCATTGTGTGAAATGTGGTTTTTAAACATCAGCGAATCAAAGTAACTTTGCAGTTCAGGGTCCTTTCGACATAAATGACAATTTGTTCAGATAATCAGATCATTCAATAAACTCATTAGGTAGGGCGCGGTAGGGCGCTTGAGAACAGCTAAAGATTAAATCTCAAGCCGACGTAAAAAGGAATCATGACACGAGAAAGGAAATTTAATGCTGACTCAATTATGATTATCTGATAAAAAACAGCGCCGAGTTTCTAAAAAGACCCTTTACGCATATGCTGTAAATAACAAATTAATTAATATATATATGGCTATTTATACAGATATTCTTGAATGTATGTTCTATATTTAGGATCAAGAAATAATTGCTTTGTGTGGGACGATTTTCCTCATAGTTTCTGTAAAGAAACAATAAAGAGACAAAATCTGAAAGATTCTTTAGCGAGTTAACCATTTTTTCTTGTTTTTTCGGAATAATCGTTAATGCATATCACTTAGAATATCAAGTCATTTACAGGTTCCAAGCAATAGTCGTACAGCATTGTTCCACCAAATTTGTGTACAATACATATTTACGTATGTATGACAGATTTGATGTGCAAAAGATCGAACCTCATATCTTTGGAGACTCTAGGTTATGCTATTTCCTTCTTAAAAAACTTCGAATTTTCAATATATCAACGTTCAAATAATATTGTTTAATAATCTAATGTGATTCCTCATATTGTCTCATATTGATATTATGTATGTACGTACATGCGTATCAAGAATATCGATGACACAATATACCATCATTTGCGAAACAAACAATTTGGTGTGCTATTTTTAGAATTGAACTTCACTGAAAATCACTTAGTATCGACTCGTCTCCCATAGATGTAAATGAATAATTCATTAGTCGTAATATTATTCTTGGTAACAAGCTCATGAGAATGTCTTTTTTTTAAAAAAAAACGCCAAATACTACTTACGAAGTTTAAAATTAGCAACTATTATTAAGGCTAAATTAATAATAATAAAACAAAAATCTATTCCATATTTTGATTAGAATCTTCAATGAATGAGGCGACTTTATATCTAACGATCATCTATATAAACAGCCTTCAAAACATCTTCAGCTCCGCACGAATTGTTTCATTTATTGATAGCAAAAAAAACTATTCGTCTACGATCAAATCCAAATTTTATTTATTCACGATTGATATCTATTTGCGATTAATTTCAAATCATAAATTTTTTTTTAAAAATTAATAAATCATGAAGTTCAACTTATCTCTCATATGTTTGCTCCTTTTCACTGCCACTACATTGGCAATTCCAACTCCCAAAGGTATTTAATTTTTATAATAATAATAATCATTGGCTATACTTGTTAATAGTCATGAATTCAACTTACTTATTACTCTACTACCTTTAAGAAGACACCAATGACATAAGTAATATATTATATTTTTACATATTCAATTGCTTATATTTGTTTAATTTGTTTATTGATTTTCTATTTATTGTTTGTTAATATATTCAGCCTCTGAACTCAAGCGCACTCCTGAACATCATGAATACAATCACCACAAAGATAATGATCATGATGATTACCATCATCCTTATCATCCTCATCATCCTTATCATCCTTATCATCCTTACAAAGAACATAAACGTAATCCTGAGCATTATAAAGAACATCATAAAGAACATCATAAAGAACATCATAAAGAGCACCATGAAGAATATTATCCTTATCATAAAGAACACCATAAAGAATATCATCATTATGATGGTCATCATAAAGATCATCACAAACGTACTCCCGAGCATCATAAAGAACATCATAAAGAGCACCATGAAGAATATTATCCTCATCATAAAGAACACCATGAAGAATATTATCCTCATCATGATCATTATGAACATCATCACAAACACGGTAAATACTAAAGAGAAGAAAAACATAAAGAATATCATAAAAAAGAGAAATATGAGGACTTGTGTGACGATAAAAAATACTATAAACACGATAAAAATAAAGTATTTTAAAGACACTATGAAGGCGTCAAAATGCTTATTAATATGACTAAATCCCTTCATAATAGTGAACATTAGTTTGAATGATAAAAATTCACACATTAAATAATTTATTGTCAAGTATCATTCTTGAAATATTATTATTGTATTATTATTCCTGTATTTATATGTAGTTATTTTGTGTATTTTCCAAATTTCATGTAATAAAATTATATAACTAGTTCTGTAACTATCAAATAAAATCACTTTAACAATAAATATATTCTTGAGGTTCTAGGGTATAGAACTCTTAAAAAAAAATTTTTTTTAATAGTTCAATGATAATCTTTGACTCATGGCCAACAAGATTATGCAAGTTTCAGCACACTCCATTAAAACAATATTGCGTGATAGGCGTAGTCCGTTATAGAGGTGTATCCGTTATCCCTATCTGTCTATCCGTTCTTGGCTAAAACCAAGATATTCGGATAAACCGGATAACTCTATATTGTCTTGCACATACTAATGACTTGTTTTTCCAATCGGTTAATCGTTTAACCGTTTAACCATTTATCCGTGTTAATAGTTTAATTCAACCGCCATTAAGATAATTCAAGTTAACATGTTTGGTGCGGTTAAATGGTTCCAATCCTTAAAATTGAACTACTAACCATGGTTTTTATCTTGCATTAATATCGCTATAGTATAAATATAAACGTAATAAGCTCGAATTAACTCAATTAACCAATAAGCATAATCATTTATTACAAACATGTAATACGATTCGTCATACAATAATCCGAAAAAATTTTTGAGATTAATACATCTAAAAAAATTTCATATGCAAATTAACATTAAATATACCATACGGCCTTTATTCAGTGGTAAGAAGTTGTTAATTTAATTTTATGCCATAAGCTATATAACTTTAGATAAAATCAAATGACTGACTTTAGATTAATACTAGATTGTTTTAATGAAAATTTCTAGAGAGGAAGATAATTACATAATACTTATAAATACCTATATTTCTTACTCAAATTATTAAAAACCAAATGTCAACCTACTTACAAATTATAAAATATTTTAATAAACTGTCTATATAGCAGCTAAAAAATTTTATCAAAGAAATTCAATTTTGACTTTCAACTTGTTTTTATCTTAGATTTACTCTTTTTACAATCTTCTGTTTAAGTTTTTTGTTTTTTATAACTAACATTAAAGTAGCAAATACCTTACTAAAGAGTAGATTATTGTAGTTAGTAAGAAAAATAAGATAAGTAGACAAATAAACAAGCCTATTTATATAAAAGGCTATGTTAATAATAGTTAGACCCAATATACAAAACAGACTATAGTACCTTGCACAGCTGTAAGAGCCAAGCATACTATAATTAATCTAGTAGAATAAGATTATTTACAATATCTTTAATTTTATTGATCTTCATATATGATTTAACAAATTCTTTCTTTATTACAATTTACTACTTCTTTCCTATGTTTAAACCTTAACTCAACATATTAACAAATATAATAATAACAAAACTGTATCTAATATTACATTTTCTGTTAATTTATTCTATTATAAAACTCATATATACCTTTTTGATGACACTTTTTTGCCTAATTATATTATAATTTTTCTATTTTTTCTTTCTATATTTTATAATCTTTCTCTTAAATCTAACTTTTTTACTTTTACTTCTATTTTATTTACTCTGTTTTTTGATAACAATCTTTTAACTTCTTTTGATTATAGCTTATCTCTACTTTTATCTAATTTAACTTTATATTATCTTTTTTTAACTATTGCTATACATAATGCTAAAGGCTTCAATAAACCTACTAAAAAAAAAGCATAGCAAAATTATTGTCTTAAATATGACATATCTATTGCAAGCAGTACACAAATCAAAATCTCAAACAAAACTAACCTCTTTTTTGTAATAATAACTTCTTTATCTACTATTAGTCTAACTTTTTTATCTCTATTAAAGATACTGCTATTATAATCTACAATTATCTTAAACCTTATATTTATAATATATATATTCACTCTAAAGGTGCTATAGCACTTAATATTTTTTTCAAGGTAATATCAAGCTTAATATTATTTTAGTATATTTATTATCAACTAATGCTTCTATTCATAATTAAATCAAAATACAATAATTAACAAAATTCAACAAGCCTCTTAATTTCATATCCATTCTATTATCTTTTGTAATTTTAACATTAGAATATTACTTATAGCTTTTTATATAAATAAAACTTATTAATTTTCTTAATAATTCTAATATATATAATATTGAAGCTTATTTTAACAACAAACATTCTACCTAATCTAATAATACTAGTAGTAGTCATATTGACTATATTTGAACTAACCAATTCAATATACAATTTTTCTTTCTTATAGTCTTAATAACAGTCAAATTTTACCTCTAATGATCATCTAATTCTTTATTTTACTTAAACATTTCTATATATCTATAGCAAACCTCTATGCAAACACACTGGTATATTAATTGCTATATTTTTAATTATAAAGTTATATCTACAGAGACTGAGAATCTTTTGCAAATACTTTATTTCAATAACTTCTATTATACAAAACTTCTATCAATAATAAAATACATAGGAGTATTGAAACAACTTGGTATAAAATTTAATACTCTATTATTTATACTACTACCTATATTATTTTTAACAAAGTTTCTCATAAATGAAGCTACAATCACAAATACTCACCTCACAGTACCCTACTATATCTATCTTTTAAAAAACTTAATTATATTATTAAACTTATAAAAAAACTTATTCAATATTCTAATATCTTCTATATTAATCAAAATATCTTTCAAATTAACAAACAGTCACAATGTGATTTTTAATTACTTATCTTTATCAACTCAATCTTTATTTAATCTTAGCTTTAACATACTAACTCAACCAAGAAACAACTCTTTTATTCTTAATATTTTGAGAACTCTCTTTTATTTTAACAACAAATAAATTAAACTATTAACAAAAAATATATTATCTACGTACAGGGCAGGCTATGGCACCCTCCACAGCTGTGCGAGCCGAGCTTCAAACGGTGAACGATTCTGTAGAAGACA